AAGGAGTCAGTGTGGAGCGATAGAAATATCTGATTGCTCTGTTGCATCCCCCTGCTGACATGTTCAAGGAGAAGCTTCCCCTCCCCCTTCTATCTGACAGCATGAGCTATTGCTAAGTAAATGCCAGCCACAGCCTCCAAGGACTAACAAGGAAGTCTGCAGAAGCAAAACAACCATATGTGATATTTGAACTGGTTCAGACTGGTTCAGAGTTTGCTCTACTTACTCAAAGTGCCTTCTCAGATGAGCTTTCTGTGTGGGCTGTAATAAAAGGAAAGGGGCCTCAGGAGGGCAATCTGGGTCCTATTGTTTACTGGGGGAGAAGCAGTGCAGCTACACTTTCCTAGCACTGAGATTAGCACTAAATTCTCTCAGCAATCCCTGATTTAGGAAATTTCACACTGAGTCCTCTCTAGCAGCAACACCCCTTTGTCCATTTTGTGACAAACTCCATACTGCCTTACCACAGTTCCCTGAGTGGTTTTGACAGGCCCAACTGTCCATAGACACGTGTGTTCACAGTGGTCCATTGCAACTGTTGTAAAGGGCTCAGACTGGATCATGGCCCATAACTCTTTCCCCTTTCCAGAGCATTCTAAAATCAGCATATAGACCACAGATGCTGTTTTTACCTGCTTTCCAGTGGGTGTGTCTCCAAGCAAGATACCATAAAACTGTACCAAAACTGCTAGGAATAAGGTAGAGTTGAAGAGGTTTCAGCCTCCACTTACATTATTTTTTTTTTTCTCCTCTACAAACACAGGTTGCTGCTGACAAAAACCAGAACATGTATGTTTAAGGGTGGAGGAAGGGAGTCAGAGAATATATAGGTTTATGAGTGAGGAAAAAGGGCCTTGCTCTAAATTCTTCTACTGATTTGTTGTTTGACCTTAGGCAAGCTTCTGCCTCTGTTTGTCATATTAATACTACTTAAATCACAGAAGGGAGAAAGGATTACATGTCTGCAAAGTGCTTTGAAAGCTTCAAATATGTTATACCTTATCAAATGGTATTCAAGGGGAAGGAATCATGAAGAGGGATATGCACAGAAAGTCTAAGATGTTCCCATGTTATCTATGTGTATAGTGCTGACTTAGCACAAACATTAATGCAAGAAGAAAAATATGAGAATGTGTTTTGTGTTTTTTGTTGTTGTTATTTGTTTGTTTTAGGTATAGAAGTATCTTTTTAGCTTTCCTGTTTCTTCATTCCGTGTGGTGCACAGCAGTAACTAGCAAAACTAAGTAGTCAGCTAAACAAATATCCTTACTCATTAGAAAATGCTGATGTAAAAGTAAATCTACAGATGAGATGCATGAAAAAAGGCAACACCTGGAGATATCTGGAGATTTGAATCAGAGGGAATAAAGATTTCTGTTTGGGTAACAGAAAAACTTCAAGTGAATTGAAGAGAACTATTTAAACGTCCTTCTACCAATCCCTTACTCACCATGGGAACTGATTTCACAAGCAAACAGAAGTGATAGCCCAAAACATTGCTGCTTAAATTTCAGTAATCATGGAATATTGTCAAAGTAAGAGTTAGCTGCCATTGTGGAAAGAATGAGGTTACAGAGTTGCACTTAAATATACAAGACTTCCAGTTCCTTTGGAAAGTGCACCACCTCTAAAAAGCAAAAACACTCATTATAAGCAAGCAACTCCCATATCCCATGCCAACATAAAGGCAATGAGATTATTAACTTGTACACATTGGAGAAAAAAAATACATACATATAGAGAGATTTTTCTTATCTACCTAGGGTTTTAGGACTCAGATCCAAGCTGTCTTTGTGATTCAACATGGGAGTAAATACCAAACCTTTCAGCAGAGCTACTAGTGTTTCCTCATAAAAGCGCAGGATTCACAGACATTTAAAATGCAGAGCTCTCACCTCCGGATTTTACTTCCTTAGCTGACCTGAAAGCAGATAAAACCATTGGCACACAGGTACTGTGAAAGACCTCTCTTTCCACAGGTGTTTGCCTGAAGGCTGTGGGAGGGGTTGTGTTTATTTTGGGAAGTTGCCCTTTCTTTCCTGTGTAGAAAGGCAAACCTCTTTATTTTCTCTGTGGGTTGCACACATACCATAGGCATGCAGGGATAGCCTCTTTCATGACTTTTATAAATGCACATGGACTTTTTATGTCTATTTGCAAAAGCAAAGACCCTGTTCCTTAAATATATTTACAGAATAGGGCAAATCTTTGTTGTTGTTGTTTTGGTCTTGAGTTTGCCATTCTCTTAGAAAGTTAGGGCTCAAAGTGTTAAAACCATAAGGAGGCAAAAAGAGCTGGAAGGAACAAAGGATTGGTAGCTTCACCTCATACTTCACTTAATTCTTTAAAATACAATGGTGTTCAGTTGGAACGCTGTACATTTGACTGATGACCCAACACCTGAGATAGGCAGGCCAGGAGCATTGCAAAAATATATTTATACATTCTATCTCATTTTTATTTTCACTGTCTTCCACATATTCAATAAGGACAATACCAAATTTCACATAGATACTTGCTACTCCATCACTTACACTAAAAGGATGTAAGAAATCTCATCGCACAGCCCCAGAGAAAGGATTTGCTTATCAAAAGAAGACCATCCTGATACACAATGTTGCAACCTGCCCATGGGTTCTCATACAGTGCTGTGGAGATGAGCGAAGGCAGAAACCACCTCTAAAGAGGAAGATCTGTAGATACGAGAAATACAGGCTGTCTCTGAGCACTCATGGTCTCTGTTCTCCGTCTCCATAAAAAGAATGCATGCAGCCTGCAGAGTTTAATTCTCTTTTGGTTTATTACTATTTAAAAATCAGTTTTTGCATCCCCTTCTACAGAGGCTTCACCTTTCAACAGAACATACAAAAAATACACACAATAGAAAAAAAAAAAAAAGATAGGTAGGTAAGTTGCTTTATACAAACAGGTCCCTAAGAACCCAAAAAGGCTAAAACAGGCTCGGTTTCAATAGAAGCAGGCCCGTAAATAGGCAAGAGACTTCATTCAAGTAGGGAAAGAGTCATCCATCCTCACCTAAGATCCCTTCTTGCTCACACTGAAGACAATTGGAGGATTCCCAACAACTTCAGTAGAAGCAGGATTAGGATTCATCAGAGTCAACGGCAAACTTTTCTGCTCCTTCCCTTCCAAGGCACTGTCTCTTCCATATAGCATGCAGCCAGGAAAAAATGCCAGTCTTCCTGGCTCATCCCACACTCATGTTTCAGTTGTTCACTCTACAGGATATCTGAGAAAAGCCTTTTATTTTCTCTTACAATGTGTATCAGCACTAATTGCAGCAAACTTTCAGGTTACAAAAGTACCGAAGAGAAATTCTGAGTCCAAGAGCAAGGCTTGGCTGATTTTTTAAGAGCCAGCAGTCAGTCTGACAACTTTGCAAAGGGCACGTAAAAACTGCCTGGAGAAGGCACCAGTTTGTAGACGCAGGAGCCAAAAAGCTATCAGCAAGAATGAGACCAATTTATTACAAAAGCACTTACCCAAGCTCACTATGTGACTGCAGGAAGCTCAAGAGCATTTATAGCTGCCGGTGGCTGTATGAAGTGACCCTGTGGTCCACATAGAACCCAGGAGTTGGGAGGGAGTCACTGGATCAGAGAGACACCAGTTGCCTCCTTCCTTCAGCACTTCTCAGCTCAGAACACTTCCAGGTCTCCAAAACCGCAGTACAAGTAGAGAAGCCACCCAGGAACAGCTTCATTCACATAAACCCTGAGAGCAGATCAATAACGCCAGGCAGTCTTTAAATTAATTTAAATATTTTGCCTTTCAGGAAGAATGTAACCAAATGTTTAACTTTTCATCATGCCTGGAGTCAGCAGGGACAAATGTTTGTAGCAGAGTTCAGCAGCACGATTGTGCAGCACAATTTGGCACATCAATCAAATCTTGAATCATTCCCACTCATGGATTATCATCCTCTAATTTTATACACGAGAACCAAACACAGGAAGAGGCTAGAGATGACACAAGGTGTTAATTCTTTACAAGCAGGCAGTCATTACCCACCACCACAGAGCAAACAACTGTGGTTTTCCACTAGCATGCTTTAACTATTCCAGCCATCTCTACAACCCCTTACAGCCAGGGTTCTTGTTCCTGTTCTGCACCACGTTGCAGCTATGTCACATAACTATTTTTAATTTATTTTTTCTTTTTAGCCAAATAGTTCTCTGGTTTGTTTTATAGGTAACAGCTATTTGCAGAGCTGTATGTATCTGAGTAAGTAAACACTCGGGCAAAGGAATGTGTGGAGGGTGAAGGTGTCAAGGGAGCAGGCACAAAGACATTATGCCAATGCTGCTGCTACTGATTCTGCAACAGTAAAGGGTGGCCTCAGGCTGCATCCCAGCCAGGGTCCCAGGCTGAGAGCTCCAAAACACACCGCCTTCTTAAAGGCACACGGAGCAGCAGGTTGGGCTGAAGGCCAAATCTGTTCCCAAAGGCTCATTCACAACAGCCAAAGGATCTTGTTTTGAAAAGCATGTTCAGGACAAAAAGCGGGACTCTCTCAGGAGACATGGGACTCTTCCACAGTCTATTTCCTTTTTCAAATTTTCTTATTTTTTCCCCTCTTTGCTTATTTTCCTTGGGTTGGAATAGACAGCATAAACTCAGGGATTCAATGTGAGCTTATGTTCTATTCAATTAAAACTCATGTACTGTGCCCAGGCAAAAGGTGAACAGTACAAAGCTGGCTTAAATTGTGTTAAGATACTCATAATGCTGTTAAGGTATACTCATAATGCTGAAAAAGCCAACACATTCCATGGTTTTGTTTGGCACTTGCTCTCAGAGTTTCTGCCATCCTGAACAATCAAAATACTGGATTATTTTTGTTGGTGATACAGAAAAGCCTTTCCTGTTTCATTATTTTAAACTTCAGTAGCTGTTTTTTCTTTTTTTTTCCTTTTTTCCTTTTTTCCTTTTTTTTTCTTTTTTTTTTTTTTTTAACTTTTTTTTTTTTTTTTTTTTAAACTTTGTCCATTCATCTCTCATGAAACCCGGAGCGAGCTCTTGCTCTCCATTCATTCTTTCAACACTGAAGTCCAGAGTTCCTTTCAAATTTACTTTGGCATCTACTTCCTCAAGCAAGCACCTTAAAAAAAATTAAAGCTGAAAGTGGTACTCCACTCCAGACTCAAGACATAAATTCAGATACTGATTTCTAGGAACAAAGATTTAGTGAAAAAACAAGACACTAAAGTTACAACAGAGCCTACAAAATCTAGGTTAGCTTTCATACTATCAATTCAATTAGTTGAGTTAGATAGACATTCAGTTACACAGCTCTTCTATTCAAGTCATTCCTTACTGCTGATAGCAGTTGAGGAAGGAACAACAATTTTGGGGAATACATGGGAAATCACAAATATTCCCTAAGTCACTGGCACTCAAATAGATCTAAAATTGTGACTGGGCATTTGCAATTAAATATTCAAAAGATTGCAATGAAGACCAACTCCACACAATCTTATGGTTCTAGGCTTTAAAAAACAAACAAAACAGCCTCCCCCCTCCCCGCCAACCACATAATACTTTGCCCTATTATAGTTAAGGCACTGGATTGAGAGAAGGAAATTCTGTGTTCAATTTCTGGTTCTGCTATCAATTTCCCACAACATCATGGGCAAACCACTTAAGACTGAAAGCTCACACACCATCACATTACCATGCATCAAACAAGCCACACTTTAAGTCTGCACACATCTAGCAGGTGGCAAATGCAAGGTAATGTCACTTAATGTAACTCAGTATGGAATAAACTCATATTAAAATGCTTTACCTTGCATTTCTTGGGGACATAAATTACTTTAGGCAAAAAGAAAAGCCTAACAATAAGTCTAAGATCCTACGTTTGACACATTTAAGCATGCATACAATCATTTTTTAGTCCTTCACCTGTTTCATTCATTCACCTGTAAAATGCTGGCATCTATTCCTTTCTTGTCTATCATTAATGCTTAAATTATAAATGTTTGAAGATATTTTAATCATACCTAATATACAAGGGCCTGAGCCACAGTTGAGGGGTTTAAGCACTCCTGTAATACAAAGAAATACTACTACTCTGATTATCAAAATTTGCATGAACTGAAGTTCCTTTCTTTGCAGAGAAGTGCACTGACTCAAACAGTGGATTGCGGTCCTAGCAAAGAAGAAAAAAAATAAAGTTATCATCTATACACTGACATGCCAATTAAAAACATAATAGAAATAAGTTAAGTGAAGTTGCAGCTTGGGGCACATTAAGTATTTCCATTTGAACTTTGAACTGGTGAGGCTGTTTTCTGTTTGGATCTGTCCTCTGATCTGTGAGCAGCAGACACTTCCCAAAGTACAGAAGGTAAAAAATTTGTATATAGATTAAATTCCTATCAAGAACTGAGTAATATTCCTCCAAAGCAGCAAAGAGCTCTGAAAACCCACCTCTGCTGAGATCTGCCCAACTCATTTTGGAACTAGTCTGCACCGATCTCTGTGTGGGTGCAAATCTCTCCCATTTACACTAGGATGATCTAGAACTGTAATTTCAGGATTGTTAATTTACTGCCTAATTGTTTTCCTGTTCACTAGACTGAGAATTATGTAGCTTCCATTCAATTTATTCATGACAACTTAGCAAGCATTTTCTCTGACAACCAAAATGCACACTTAGTGTTTTAGAAGGCTTCCTTTTTTGTTCAAGGCTTTTCATTTATTTGTTTTATCAGGTCAAAATCTGTAGCGTTCAAAATTGCACATGGCCAAAATCCAACCCACTAGTAACACTGAAGTCAGGGGAGCTAAAACTAGGATGAAAACTACCTTTATTCTGGTCTTGACTTTTATGACTACTGCATGTTCTTCAAGTGCATATAGAACAATGGGGACACCAACTTCTTGCATCTTTCAGAATACAGCCTCAATTCAACAGAAAGCTTGCTGATGGCTTGCTGCTCACTGCTTAAATACCAGCTACCCATAAAGCAGTGTGACTGCAGTTGCATTTGCTAATCCAAATGAATTGTTATGCTGAGTGGGAAACCTGCTCTATCTTGACTTGCTTGGCAGTTTACAGGGTTGCCTTGCCATGGTCTGGATTTGTAAATTATTTTAAACTGTTTTGTTACCTTTCTGAAATGTCCTGTTTCTGCTTGCCAAATAAGCTTATCAGTACAGCAACAGCAATAGAAGCTTTGGTTTGGGGGTGGGGTGGGTGAGTGTTTTTTCTCCTCGTTGTTGTTTTTTGTTTGTTTGTTTGTTTTCTTCCTTTCCCTTTTAAATAAGGCTCACGCCTATTCCCAGGATTCTGGGAGAAGATGAATGGAGAAGAATGTGTCTTTCAGTCTCCCAACCTAAACTAATAGCAAAATGTCAAGTCCATGGCGGCAACATGCTTTCAATTTAGAAAGTGCTAGTACTGTGAAGAGAAAACCATTGATTATTCACCCTCCACTTAAAATATTCAAGAGGAAGCATTAAAATATAGCTTCTTACATGAGAGAAGCTGGTGCTTCTAAATCAGTAGAGCTTAGAATGACATTCCAAAAACTATATACTTACAAAATATTCTATGTTTTCAATGCAAAATTAACAGAGGAATGTATCCCACAACATCTTATTTCAGTTATAGATTAGCTGCAGGGTTTGGATTAGGAGCGCCTGTACAACACAGAGTGCCATAGCAGCAGTTTGTGGCTACGTTCGCATTTAATGCAGGCATACCTCTTACAGAGGATGTAGGTCCTGGTCTGCGGTGGTCTGTCCTGTCATTGCATTAATGATGGGGAACGAATGCTATTGTTTCACAGAATACGAGAATGGTGTGGGACTTGGGTTCTTCAGAGTGGCCTCTCTAGAAATACTCAGTACCTACATAGCAGTTTGGTTTACCAAATCACTTCTTTAACCTTTTTTCATTAACCCTCACAACAACTATTTGGTGATGTAGAGAAAACTCTGCACAGATAGGAAATCAAGGAATAAATTCAATGAACTGTCCTACACGACTTTGAACATCAATAGCAGAACCATAATTTTAACTCAGAGTATTCCTAACTCCTAACCCTGTGTTGAGCTAATCAAACATTTATACCTGGATTTGGTACATAAAGACCTTGAAAAACTATATGGGAGGAGAGGGAAGGCCAAGAAAGGACACTATTTCTGCACAAGTGTTTGTTTTTTTTTCAGATTAAATGGAACCTCAAACAGCCTAGAAGCGCTGCTTCTTTGCCTTTTGTTATCAATTATTTTTCAGAAATCTACTGTTCACAGTTCCCATCTCTTATAGCAGAAACCCTTCTTGGAAAAGAAATGAGTAAGACTGGCTTTTGCAAACCTGACTAAAGGCAGATCAGGAAAGCACGACTGTAGCCAAAAAGCCCAGGTCACTGAGAGTACAGTACAATGGAGAGAGGGATTAATATCGTATTTACTGGTTCTCATTTGCTCACCTTTTGGACAGGTGGCTAAATTGCTCAAAAACCAGACAAAACGAGGGGATGCAAAGTAACATACTAACTTCTTTAATAGAGTCCAATCCAATTAAACCAAAATCACTCTGTGAACCCCTGGGTTTATTCACACTAAACAAGTCAGTGGTACATAGTGTTAACCCGATAGCTGATCATGTTTATACCCTAGGTCCCCACAAGAAAAATGAGCACCAGTCAACCAGACTGCAATGGTATTTTTTCCTTTTTTTTTTCCCATAAAACTATTTCTTTCATAGACTTAAAACAATCAACTAGCCAAGTTATTAATCATGGTACATCTAAAAAAAAATTAATACTAACCCTAATGTGACTGCTGCTTTAAGAGTGCTCTGTGATCGCCTTAGACCGGCTTTTTAGTAGCAATTCACTACAACAGGTCCTAAAATAATAATAATAGAGAATTAAAAACCTGACAAGTTCAATGGTTAAAAATAATAAAACCTGTTCTGAATGGTGATTTTTCTCAGCAGTTCAGTTCTGCTGAAGCACTCACAGCCTCACAAATGGCAGAAGGGGTTCAAATTCTCTCACCTTCTTCACATTTTTGTTTGTTTGTTTTTAAAAGGACAACTGCATTGTAACCATGGGGCATTTTTCTTAATGTTATATTCAGTCAATAACGGGTCTGTTTTTAAAATTTACTGTGTTTTTCTGGGGTGGGTTAGGGAAGATGGGGAATAGAGAGGGAACAAAGTATAGCTCCGTGTAGCTGTAGCTCCCCGTGTGCCTTGGTCACTAGGACTGTCTCTAATTTTCAGATCAGTGCTGGCAACTTCTTTTTTATTCTAGAAAATCATGACAAAACACCCACTGCAGCCTCTAAAGCTCCATTTGGTGTTTTAAATCATGTCTCCTATCCAAGGTCACAGTCTTCTGTAATTTATCAGCTAAGAAGCATTTTTACCCTCTCCCCAGAGAAGGTTTAAAGGTGGGGTAGAGCATGAGACAAAGAGGGAAGCTAAAATGAATTAAAAAATTCTCAGCTATAGAACCAAATTTCATTATTTCCTCTTTCATTCACAGCATCTTATCATTATAGCCAGACTGCTGCTTTGCTTTAAGGTCAAACTGATCTCATTTTCCCTCTGGCCCCATTGGTTGCTGGTCGACCTCTGGATCCACTAGGGATGACGCAAATGCTGACTGGACGATCTGAAACCCAAATGACTCCAGAAGAGACATGTTCTGTTGGGGTGAAAAGGGGGATCCCAGAGCAGGACCAAGGTCCCCCAGTGGGCCACCGAGGGCCCTGACGTGAACTTTCTGTATGTGTTTGTTCAGATAAGACTTTGATCTGAAAAAGCTGCCACATTCAGGGCACGGGTACTTCTTCTCTCCCTCCGTCTCCATTTTGTTTTTGCTGACTGCCATGTCACACGAGAAGGACCCATTGGTGCTCTGTTTCTCAGGAGTCTTGAGGTCACTGGTGTCAGAGAGGTCTCCGTATGAATCAGAACTCTCAATCGGGTCCGAATGTGAACATTTCTGTCCTTCTATGGAAAAAAGAAAAGAGAGAAGTTTTCAGAACCTTATCTCCCAAAGTACATGCATTCAGACAGATGATACTGTTTACCACCCGATTCAATAACGCCTGTCATGTTAGAATGATACACACTTAGCACTGCAACCCCGCGTATTCTGAATCCCATGAGCACGTCCTCTTTACAAACTACAGAGCTGCTATCAGAGCAAGATCCAGGTTTTTATCATGGATTTGTTGTGATAGCGAACGTATCCATAACGTGTCTCTGGTTTTTGAATCCCCAAAGGTGTCTCACAAAGTTTATACCTCAGGCACTACAAATACATGGACCCGATTATGAGTTTTAACTGTAGAAATCACTCCCCACAATTCTGAAATACAGTAGATACTGTAAGCCTAGAAACCTAACAAAGTACAATAAACCACAGGAAGATGTGAAAAAAAATGGACATATTTTACTCATTCACTCAGCACAGCAGTAGAGAGCTACTGCAGTTTCAGAGGTGCAATTCCATTTAATCCTGGAGAACTCATTTTTAAATGCTAAGTGCAACACTCTTAGAAGTGATCTTTATTATCTAAAATTATTTCATGTTTAAACACTGTAGTGTGAAACAGGAGTTTGAGACACTATTTTAAGCCATTTGGATACATATCCTGGCAAAGCCATTGGTATTTTTGGAGCATTCCCCATTCTTCTCTGGCACTATGCCAAGAAAGTTTGTCCACACTTTTTGCTCAGTGTATATGAATGAGCGTGGGAAACCCAGACATACTCCCTAAACAAGCCTCTGAATACAAATAAGCTGTATCTACTATTAACTCTAAAAGACCAAAGAACCACTTGGCACAACCCAAAAGCCAGATTTGCTCTGGACTCGGCATTATGAACCAAACAGGATATGCATGAAATCAACACAGCACTGAGCTGGAGTAAATCTCTTGTTAAATCAGCACACCACCCAGAACCAAAGGGCTTCTGTAGTAACTCTTTAAGGACTTCCAACAGGAAAAAAAAAATGAAGCTTTTCACTGATACAGACTTTCTTTAACCCATAATACTGCCTGTTCCTAGGTCAAGATGAAAGAGCATGGCTTTTCCCATCTCTAAAATTTAAGAAGCTGCCAAACATTCAAGTCCTTTCACCTGCCTATGTCATTCCCCCAGATTTGTTAAATCAGCTGTTCAAGGGCAACCATTACACACGCTGATTTCGCTGCATCTCCCTCAGCTTATTTCCAGTATTTTCCTTGTCCTTCCTCCCTTCCCTTTCTCACACCCAGCCCAACAACCTACAACACAAAGTTCTGCACAGAGCAGCAAGGTGCAGAGCAGGGAGTCTCTTGCCTTTGATGCCATAGGTCCTGACGCAGTGGAACGCTGCTCCCCCATTCGGGATGGATTCCTGGTGCCTGGAGACCTGGGGAAGGGGAACACCGTGGTGGGTTTTAACATGGACCTTTAAGTAGGAGGCAGAGGAGAAACCTAAACAAGATAAAAGGAGATGAGATCCTGCCACCAGCAAAGACACACATCTGCCTTCCCTGTTCTTTATATCTTTCTCTTGTTCATATTCCCTATTACAAGTTTGCCATTAAATAATAATTTCTGAAAAAATTTTTCCCCCATTCAGCTCATCCCCAGTTTTAAATAACATACTTAAACTCGTATTTTGTCTGCAGTTAGCAAAAAAGTATTTCAAAATCAAATTTCAGTACTTCTATTAGCGCTGATCTGTAAGCCCAAACCATGGAAATTAAAAACATATATTATATATATATATATATATATATATATATATATATATATATTTACATTTGTACATGTACTTATTTATTTATTAACTCTCACAAATAAGGACTTTTCATTTAATGTAACATTTTTAAAATAAGATTTTAATAACCTTTGCAGTTAATAATAGAAACATTTGGATAATATATGAGGCACACGGAAGACAGTTTTAAAGACTTTCAACAACCATTTTTTAAAATGAAATTTTGACAGAATATTATCACACTTTCATGTTGGAAACATCTTGCTTTAAGAACAGAAAGCACAACACATGTTTCACAGTCACAGATACAGTTCCTGTTCTGGATAGAGAAAACCTGAGACTTATTAAACCAACGCAGCATTTGCAGTACAAGCCCTTGAAACAGCACTTTCAGGTCAATGCTTCACTTCAAAAATGAACAGATATGCTGTAACCTGTTCATCTATACTGCAATCCTACTTTTATGGTGATATAATTGCATTTACACTCAGTGAAATAAAATAATGTATTAGGAAGAATGCAAAACCAATGCTGGCACACTTCTTGGGTGGATTTTCTGACAGCAGCTGTTAGTTTCAGGTGCTGAATTTAATAATGAATGTGGCTTTACGCTAGAATTCCTTTTGGCTAACCAAAAAAATAACCCTCTGCACAGACTTAGCTCAGAAGCCAGGACCAAAGACTATCCAGGGGTTATTAATAATTATATATACGGGACCTGCAGAGCAAGACCAAACTCCTCAGCAATTTGCTTATGGGGACAAAGGGTAGGTTGCTGAGAATGAACAGAGATGGTTGCTGTGGATCCCTGAATTGAAGACAGAAGTACAGAGAAGTAGATACAGCAAGAAAAGCACAAGCGAAGAAACCAAGAACATACTACTCTCAAATACAAGGGAGCAGAACTATTGAGGCCAAGTCATCCAGGGAAATAACATAAGACTATTCCCCTCTGAAAAAAGACAAGACCTACCCTCACACACAAAATGCTGTACTGAATGTCTCTGGGCTGCAGGAGAATATATTCCCAAACTACCAAAAGAGAACTACCAAAATCCACTGCAGATATGGAAAGAACTGGTGTTTGTCCAGTAAAGAAAAGATGGAACAACAATGCTTCCAGTTACAAGGTACATACTTCCCTTGCTTCCTACATGTGTCTAAAACCCAAATGCATGCTGAGATGAGCCTCCTTCTAACACGTTTTAGCAACACATTAGAATCCTACTGCCAACGATTAAAAAAAGAACTGCATAAAGTTATTCAGTGTTTTTCTGTACAACTGACACAGGAAAATCTAGAGTTGTAATCTCTGCTATACAATATTTTTTCTGAACTCTGCAATTCTATTTGTAGAATACATTGTTTTGTATAATGAAAGCTGCCTGCAAAGTGTGTTAGCCTCCCTTCACACACTTGGCAGATGAACACTTGAGTCATCAACTTCCATCAAGCAGTACGAATGCCAACTGCTTCATAGGAAACTGTTTGAAATGAGATTTTTTTGATTTTATCCTTTTTTTTTTTTTCCCTAAAGCATTCAGCACTGGCTTTTTTTTTTTTTCAGTAGGCCTTAATTATGAATAGCTGTCCTAGGTAGATGGGGGGGAGGGAGAGGGCAATTCACAGTCAATAATCCTTTGCTTTTTAAAATCTCTTTAAAAACAAAATCGGGCTAATGCAGAGGATAAAGCGTCAGTATTTTTCAATGTAATGTATTCATTGCTTTACCCATATCTATCTCACAGCTCTGCAGAGCAGATTTCTTCATTCCAGTGAAAACATTAAAAACATGCATACAAAGGAAATGATCTGCTTTTGATAGACAGGATCTCTCCCTTGATGTCTCAGTTAACATCTACAAGGAGACAGACTACAGAAATAGCTGCAGAATACTCGTTTTTCAAAAATTCTGGTTTGGATTTAGCCAGAACATCTGGAGAACGCTTCCGCTTTTAATCAACTCTATATCCACCATGAAAAAGACAAGAACTTATTTTACTGTAAAAAAATGCATCCTACTTGTGACTGGAATATTCACTCATCTCCTAACTCATTAGATTTCTGTGAAACAAACAATGCACATTTTTGGTTTCATATTCAATGCACCAGCACATCAGCAAGGGAAAGAATAAATCAAAAATCCCATTGCACGAGCACTGTAGCCATGGCACGATCACAGCTGGGAGGACAGCACATAGCTTCTGGCTGCACCAATGCCTATGAAACAGAGGTTTCTAACTCATACATTTTCCACTGTGTTTCATGTCTCCAGCCTCTGCAATCTAAGAGATATCTCTTTCAAATAACGAACACTATCATTTGATTCTAGAACATTTTGGATTAAAAATCCCAGTGTCATGGATCATAAATCTGTAATCAAAATTCATGGCAACGAGTTCGTAACACCATTATTTTGACAACGCCGGTCTGTAACTTCCCTTTCCTATGAATTTTAAAAGAAGGTAAATATTTAACAACTATTCAATAGTTCAGTCATGGCTTGTAAGTGCTGATGTACACTGAAATTCACAGCAACACATACGAAATACACAAACTGTAAGAATAAAGCTTACAGTTTGCTATACAACAGGTTCCCTAGCCTTCTACACCAAAGTGCCCATTTTATTTAAATTTCCACTGTATATTTAAACTTGTAAGATATGAAAAATTCTTTTAATCATTTCATTGTTTGAATGCCAGATCTGTCTTTGTCATGCTGGCTAAATTTTGAAAGAGCTGTAGTGACATCCAGTGGTAGTTAAGTTGAAACTCAAGCTTATGAGCCCTGGAAAGGTGACAATTTCTCACATCCCGTATGAGTTTTTCTTTAGCACCATGTTCAAATGAAAGAGAGCAGGATAGCACCTGGATCTTGAATACTGTCCTCCATGTTGTTACCACAGAAAGGACCAGGATAAGCCTAAGAGGTGTTTCAGAAGATAGGCCTTTACCTGAAGAGGAGGCCAAGCTTCATTTCAAACCATCTGCCCGGAGCTTCAGAATCTGAAAGTTTTCAACCCGGATGACATTTGCACTCAAACTGATAGTATCATTTTCAGGACCTAACACGGTTCAAATACTGGAAACACCTCTCTCACAATTTAATGTCTCTCATCACTCATCACCTTCTAGTCATCTAAAAGCTCCTAAAATCCTCACATCATTAAATACAGAAGAGCTTTATTCTCTCAAAAGATATCACCTCTCTTAAATTATAGAAGTGAACACACATTAACAAAAATCAACTCATCAGAAAAAACAAGATCACAAAACACAGCAGCAACCCGATCAAACACTTACTAGGTACGTGCACGGGTGTGAGCCAGCAATATACTTTGAAGTTAATTATTAATCATTCAAAATAAAACAAAACAGACATGGGTAAGTCAAAATGATTTATTCTCCTTTCTGAAATTTGCCCAGCTTGCCTTACATCCCACATAACCTGTATCTACAACTCTCTCTCCAATTGGATGGTACCACAAACAGATGGAACATCTTCAAACCTGTATTTACACAAATAGAAGTAAAGCACACTTCTAGTGCTCTTTACCAGACGTGTTTTGGAAATGTACATTAATACAAACCAATTTCTTGGGTGAAGAGAGAGAAGCAGCTTCATTCTACTACTGCACCAGGAGGTTAAGCAAGACTGATAATATAACATATATCTTTTATGTACAGTATGTTTATTTCAGAGATTCTTCTTCCAGACTGAATGCAGGAACTCAGTTCCAACCAGGTATAGGAAAATACAGGTATGATGAACAGTGGCAAGGCAACATATCATGGTTATTTAATAGGCATCTGGCTATTTAGCAAATAAAATTCTCAAAATTGTCTAAAAATAATTTCCTTCAAATTTAAAGTTTTTTAGAGTTTTTTCAGGAGCTATTGGCCACATAAAATGGCGAGTCCTATAGTTCCATCAGTTTCAAGGTTAAGCATTCAATAAGGAAAACAGAATATATACACTTAAATGGTATAACCTCCTCCTGTTGCAGAGTCACAAAGCCTTACAGCTTCCCTCAAGCACTTTCCCATTCCACTGAAATAAATAAATAAATAAATAATAGTTTCCTCATTACCTCGATTACAGATAGTGCAGAAATTGCTTGGTCCTTCACTATGTTTCTTCAAATGATCTGCCATATATGCTGCCCGCAAGTACTTCCCACACACCTGGCATGGAACTTTGTCTTCATGACATGCTAGGTGTGAACGCAGTCGGTCACGAGTGGCAAAGGAAGCATTACAAGTCTGCAGGTACAACAAGAACCATGTGACTCATCAGTTCTGCTCAAAGCACTGATATTTGTCAAATTTGTATCGTGTAGAATAAATACCTTAGACCCTGTGTATGCAAATGACACGATACACAAGCCATTTCCCCACAAATAAACAATTCAGATCACCAACATACTGCAGAAGGTGTGATGTTACTACTTAAAAGAATTAAGGAAGCAAGAAAATAGCTCTAACATACTACAGACAGTAAAACTTAAAGCAAGATAGAATTCTAAGGCTGTAGCCCCTTCATTGAGGATGAAGATACTAACACTTTGAGTAATATTCAGTAAAAGAAACAGCACAAACCAATTACTCCAGTTACAGTGAAGTCTACCATTTCACTGAGCCATTACAATCACTTTAGACCACTCAAAATGTCCTCTCTGTCACCTTCCTAAATTTTACTCTTCGATCTGAGCAATCTGACTTCAGTACAGTGGATCAAACCCTTTGGGCTAAGCAGACATAAAAGGAAGCATCAGAGAATTGGCTGGGATGAGAGAACAAAGGACAATAAAAGCCATTCTGGTATCCACAGTAGCAGTAGAGACAAAAAGTGTGGGAGTGAAATGAGCAGATACCAAAATAACTGAATGACACTGTGATCTGTGACAACTTACCCCTGATCAAGCTATCATATTCCACTTACTAACATGAAACAAGCTTGATCTGGTGTACTACTTGCCCACTTCCCAGAGGCAATCCATATGACAGCTGAGGGAAGGCTCCCTCCCAGTTTTATAATCATAGCAGTCGGCAGGCACACGGGCTGTTTATATGGCCTGTTGTCTGTAGGTTCATGCCCAGCATGCCATGCCAATAAGCACAGAGGGTCCACACGAATAATCCAATTCAAAAAAATCCAATAATCCACACAGAGGTCTTTTAATTAAAGAATTAATTATATAACTCTGCAGAGTCAGGTGCTTGGAGATCTTTCGCAAAGCACGCACACCTCTGACTCAAATCCCTGTCATTTATACACAGCAAACTTGTGAAAACTCTCCCTTGGGCTACTTTTGACTGGCTATTACAGCTCACCTAACTTATCTCTGCTGAGGTTGTGCATTACAGAGGAACAGCAAGGGGAACATCAAATCCTACATTAGCATACATTAGCATTTTGATGGGTGTGATTTTTAATGTTAATGACCCTTAATGAGCAAAAGGTTACTATAGGTCAGTCTGGAGCTGGTTTTCTCCTTCTTGTTTTTTACCTTTTATCCCTTATCTTCCTCACTTCTGCTAGCTCAAGGCTACCTGTCTCTTACTTTCAGCAAAAGACTACACAAGCTACAGGCTTCCCTATTTTCTTCAAAATTTTCTTACTCTTTCCCAGCTCTTGATCTAGTGTACTACTTGCCCACTTCCCAGAGACAATCCATATGACAGCTGAGGAAAGGCTCCCTCCCAATTTTATAATCATAGCAGTTGACAGGCACACAGGCTGTGTATATGGCCCACTACAATGGCCTGCCAGTTCTGAAAGGCTGGCTGTACCTCTAATGTGAATTAAAATAATAAACTACCAGTAATACACTGTGCGAGTTATTATACTCCAAAACCATTGCTTACAAATGGAAGAGCAAAAACAAAAGCAAGCATATGTTAGAATGATCTGACTAAGCGGGCAACAGTGACATTCCAGACTGTACAGTGTTTGGTTTATATCACACCTCTGTATAAAATAATGCAGTTTTAAGATGTATAACCAGAGTCCCTTATGAGATAACATGAGAATATTACGTGATATGGGAACTGGATACATTCTGTCTTTTCAAGTATCAGTGTGTAATTAGACAAATCTTCACCAGAGAGAGACTTGTAGAAGTAACAACGCTACTAAAATTTCAAAGTGATAACTTTGGATAAATGGAATTGACAAATAAGAAAGAGGGTAATCCATGTAAGTTAATCAAGAGTTTAATCCAAAAAACATTGAAGGTAGCTGAAAAGCATGTACCAATTTCAACAGGCTTTAGACTGATTTGATCCTTTGAGATGCTTAAGTATGGTAAACTCCTGTGGAGCTGAGGCTACCCTGCAGCAAGCACAAGACTTAGCACCTCACACGATCAGGATTTAATATACTTAAGAAGGCAACAGGAAATTTATCTGGTTTTCCATGATACACAGAAATTTGACTCAGCTCACCAGACAAGGAATCATAAATCACAAGCAGTGAAGATCAAGAGGCAAATTCTTGAACATGAAAGATTTACCTTCGTTCAAACTCTCAGGACACAGCGCTGAGCAAAACAGGTGCAGCTTTCACTTACTTAAATGTTATTAGAGGTAAACGCTCAGTTAAGTCAGGATTCTAGCACTGACACTAATCAATCTGCTGGATATCAACTGAAGCTATATAACTAGACAATCAAGGATGACAGCCAAAAGATGCATCATCAGTTACCCTAGTAACATTGAGCCACAGTAAGCGTCCATACAACTGCATTGGGCGTGCATTAGTTTATAAAGCAGACCAGAGACAAACCACACAAACACAGGGATGCCAGAAATAAAACCGTATCTGTCCCATATTGAACTGATCAAGTTGAAAGCTTAGGAAAAGGCAATATAATCATTTCTGTGTTGCTGCTGAGTTTTGCAAAGTTCACCTTTGGATAATCTATATAGCAAATATCTGTGAAGAAGCTTAAAAAAATCAGTCCAGTGGAGAAAGCAAGAATCAGTTTATCTGAATCATAACAATGGGAGACAGGACTATGCTTAAGGAAAACCCCAAAGTTAATATCCAAATAGTTAATATTTATAAAAGGTATAGAGCAAAAACAACAACAAAAAAGTAAAAAGTTTTATTTTATAAAAGATGTGAAGTGCTAAGTGAGTACTAAGTATTTATCATTAATTGTTAATCATAGAAGAGAACTCCAGTGCTTTCCTATCAAACATTGCACAGGTATATAAATAGTTCAAAAAGAATATATATAAAGTTTAAAAAACATTGTTGAAGAAATACCTCTTGAAGTTTCAACTTTTCTATGGCTGTGGATGTCTCTGAGCTTATTCCATGGTGGCTGCCATTTTCCTGCTAATAGGCAGGAAGTAAGAGAAATTAGGACAGGAAGAAACTCATTCTGCATTGAAATCAATGGGAAAAGCACTGGACTTGGGATGCCAATTTCAGGTTTATTTAAATAAATAGATCTTTTTATTTATCATAAGTTATGCTTTAATTTATCCTACTTTGTTCTATTTTATTTATTTAAACTGCCAGAGGAACAACCTGGCTCTTCTCTCAGAGAAGGCGCAAACTTCTGTTTTCTCCCCTTTTTCTTTCCCATTCACAGACTTTCTGATCAGTTTCCTCCCAAACTGCAGCCTAGCTTTTATATCATTCATACTCAAAAGCCAACAATCCAGCCTCGCCCCTTCCCATGAGCCAGCAAACTGACCTACCCCCTTATGGCCAGAAAACTAACTTACCCCTTCTCCTTTATCCAGAACTCAACTGTCAGATTAAAAAAAAATATACATATATATCAACAATGCAACAATCCATGGGAAATGTAGCCAGAGTGTCATTATCTGGACACCAAAGTGATTTCTTGGATCTGATTTCTCAGATGCCTTGGGTCTGTGGAGGCATTCACCATTCTGAATCTATTTTAACAGTAATGAAAAAGCTGGAATCTGGTCTGTGTCTGGCATCATGTGCTGCAGGTGCTGGAGGTTGGGAGAATTTTTCAAAGACCTGTGAATCCCAACCATTACATTAGGGAGATGAGCACAGGACTCCATGCCGAGCTACACTACTGCAGTAACATTCAGCTTACAACTGCCTTGATTCTCATGGTTTCATTTTACTGTTCTGAAGTTGGGTTGACACCCTCCCTCTTTTGTTTTGGCAGTCCAAAATGTACATTGATGCCACATTGTTACCCCTACAAAACATCAGATATTCACCGGTATGTCAAGAAACATGAGGACTCAAGTAAACACTCTGGATTTTGTTTAGATCATAGCAGCACACTACTTCCAAGAATTCCACTAGAACAGAGGATTCCGGAAGGTTTTCTGTTTACCTAAAGAATACTCTTTTGTGATAAATATAAACAAAGTGTGACAATAACAGGAATTTTCGACAGGAACTCAACAGATTCAAAAAAGACGTTCAATGTTGCTTGGCCTACTCTCATGGGGGATAGTTTGCCAAATGAAATCAATGACAAACTGAATGGAAAGTGGCGAAGCAACATGTCAACATTAAGCTATTTTCCTTCCTAACAGCCAGATTCTGTGCCTAGATACACGTCATGGAACAGAAGTGTTATTGGTTATGAGATAAGCAGAAAGAGAACTTTATCAATTTATGCATCAGCTTTCAGATTTGAAACAAATTTTAAGTGATACCATCCCTTCCGTGGTTGTACCATGTGTATCAGATCTGTGCAAACTCAAGAAGACTTTCTTAATCTGACAGGATATCGTGAAGTATTTTTTTGCAAAGACTCATGACAGCTCTTTAAAAAAATGTCTACCCATTGTTTAAGATTAATAACAAATTAACTTTGCAAGGTTAAGCAGTCAAAAATCAGCAACAAACCAAGCCTGAAATGCCAACCTCATCTCTGCCCTCATGCTTGTACCCTATAGCCTATATCTTTTAACTGAAATGAGCACTGCCTGTAACATTATTGTACTTCAAAAAACAAACCCACAATGAAAAAGACTGTTCTGAGCAAATGCTATCACAAAATACATGTGTGCAAGGAGACAGAGTTGAGCTTGGCTGTACAATCTTAGCTTCTGTATTCCTTGACTTTCTAGCTCTTAGTGTATACCCTCTGATTCACATTTGCAGAGGTTATATTTAACACTCTTAATTCAATCAGAAAACTAAAAAAAATTATCAGGTATCAGCTGGCAAAGGACAATCCATTCTCATCAGTGCTATTCATAAATTTCACACGTTCAGTAACCTTGATATGAACTGGCAAAAGACTGATGACTTTCCGGTTATGTGGGGACCTAACTATTCATTTTTGTATCTGCACACAAATAAATGCTTTATGGATAATTTTTTTCAGTCACCTTCTGTGTTATCTGTGTATCCACACAGATGCCTTGCTATCTCCAAATTGTGAGGTCTTTCTTGAGAGCAGAATTTCCCAATTTATATGAATCTACAGCCCAAAATCATCTTAAGAAGTTTAAATGAGTCTTAGGTTTTTGATAGGGCAAGATGTAAAATCAACATGGAGGCTCTGTGAACTGATTTTCAAAGGTGATGAACTCCCCAAAGATCTTGCTGTCAGATTAAGTCAGCAGAAACCTTTAGATAGCTCTCTCTATATGAAAATCTGTTCACTGGATTAATAAAATTGCAAAAACATTTCAAAACTTTCACAATTTTGAGAAAACGTAGCAAAGATGCGTCAAGAGATGGAAAATGAAAGCCGATCAGAAGGCAGCAGTCACATAGGATTGACTTGGTTTATAAAATGTGGTCAAACCTCTGCTGTCTTCAAAGAAAATGAAGTTATATTGCTCAAACTTTCTCAACATAAATAAATAGCTAAACCTTTCCTCAGAGAACAAGCATGGAGACTGTTCACTCAACATATGCTTTAGATGTTTGCCCAACAAATATGTGAAGACAGCGGGTGATAACGGAAGCAGGTTCTCAACTTAATTAACACTTCCAGGCACTTCTTAAACCTCTATACAAATTAATTACAAAATATCTTTCTAGATTTGTTCTTTCAAACCCCAACAAATAATTTATTAGCTGTAAAAAAACAAAAACAACAACAAAAAACTATATACAGCATTATGACATTACATCAGAAATGGTATTGTGCTAATATTATCTGTACTCTCACTGGGATAAAAAGAAAAAAGCTTCCAATTTTGCTCAGTGCAATGTTCTGAAGGCTACATGATAAAAAGAGCATCTTAGAAATTGATGTTAATTCACCAATTTTATTTGAAATTATTCTTAAAAAAAAAAAAAAAAAAAAAAAAAAGTCAGCATTGGAGCCTCCTGCTGGTAACAACCATGAATGTGGAAGAGGGTGTGGAAAAAAGGGGGCATCGCCTTTGTCATCGGCTCGAAGCCCAGGGACAAAGTGGTTGGGTAAGAGATCCAGGGGGGAGACTGGGGCAGAGCAGCAGGGAGAACATCTGGGGATGGGGAGGGAGGCAGGAGGACCAAAGCAGCAGATTACAAGGGGCTGGGGGACAGGAGGACTGTAAAGCTACTGCTGTAGAACACCATTATTTACAAACATTTGTCCCAGCCTCACACATGTAGACCCACAAATTTGTATTGATACTTCATAATTCTCTGCATACTCATAAATCTAGTGCCTTAAAACAAAAAGATTACCCATACATCAGTCTAAACCCCTCCAGCTCCTACCTGACACTTGTGAGGTCTCTCTGAGGTATGCACCTGTTTGATGTGTCCATTCAAGTGGTCTGGCCTTAAAAGAAAATACACATACGCACACTTAAAACAAATACTAAAAATAATCTTACAATTTTAACCAAAAAAAGAGACAATCCCTGTGGCGGATCTATTCCAAATATAGCAACATTTAACTTGGCAAGAACCAGATCACCAATAACTGGGACTCTACCTTGATAAGTATTCTCTCCAACTTGCTACAAAAGCAGCATTTTCTCAAGAAAAAATTATGAATGAACAACCAAAGAAAACAGAAATGCAAGCTACAACGATTTTCAAACCTGCATGTCTTCTTCCAAAATCCTATTCAGACCTTGACAATCAGGGAAATTTGATTTACAATTGCTGAATATTTGAAAGTTGGTCCCTTTTGATTTATGTCCCAAACATGGATGTAAGAAGCCAACTTTAAGCACCTTTGTGCAAAAAGACTGACTCTAACTCTGTTGCTGCGACACGTTTTCTGTCAGCAAGACAAAAAAAAAAAAACTGTCCTAACTCACAACTTGGTGGGGAGACTGCATTAATACAAATAAGTGCTCTGGAGGTCCCAACTAGAAGGTGCAATGGAAGAGCAAATTATTACTGAAAAAGTCAGACCGTTCTTCACAATCAGTAAAGCCTAGTTTGAAGAGAAGACTGAATAGCTGCAGATTTTCCTGGTGGGAGTTTCTCCTAGGGGGAAGAAAGCTTTTCATTGTATGAGGCCCAAGCTGCTTGGAAACAAGTTCTCCACCCTCTCCTCCCCCAGCTTCCCAGCTGCGCCAATGAGAGGACGCGGGATGGAATTCACGCACGGCAGACAGAAAATTGACTGAACTTTGCAGGCAGGCTGTTAAACCTGATGCTGCAGCACGGGGGCTGGAGCTGTGCAACCGGAAAGCCTGGCTGGGGTCCTTCCAGGTGCCTCAAGCCTGGCAACCTCAGTGCCGCGCTACTGAATGGAGGAAAGGACACCAAAATCAGACTTTGCGCTTCCAGCTTTCCTTTGGCTGCTCCTATACCTGAACACTTCTGCTTAGGAAAGATTCTCTACTTTGCCTACTTGGACTCTATAAAGATGTATCGACACTTTTGTTGTTCATTTTCGTAACGCTATTCCTGCTTGGTCACATTAAATTACTGGGATAATTGAGAACTCGACACGTATCTTTCACCTCCTATTGTTAACAAAAATCTTTCATACAGCAACAGAAAATTTTAAACGTGACTATTGGCGGATGATCTCAGGTAGTACTAGAGTAAAAAGCAAACTTTCACTTTTAGCTAACATGCAATTTCATGTTTTATGACTTTCCACCACTAAATTTGCATTCCCGAAGACGGTGCATCCCCTAATTATTGCTGATTTTTTATTCATTTTTTAAAGAAAAATCTGCATTTTCTTTATTTCAGTAACAAAATGTTCCTCTACCCACAAGAGAACTAGCAGGAGCACAATTGCTACGTTTATACAGCTGGGACAATTCTAGCCCTAAAAGCCTTTTGATTCATTTTTCTGCCTCAATTCCTCCTCTCCTGTTGGAGCAAACCAACTGCTGCAGAAAATCGGCGGCTGCTACAAAAGGAACGCGGAGTGTAGGCATACCCCCTCCCCCCACTACTTCTAGCCTGAAAGCGAGCAGCAAACTTACAAAAAAAAGTTGCAAATGCATTAACTTAGACTGTAAGATACCACTAACATAACTACGTGTACCAAACTACTTATATTAAATTAACTCCCACAAACAGCGACAACAAAAAATCAGCAACATTAAATGCACAGATCTTACGTATGTTGCAGGGCAGAAACAGGATCCCCTTCAGAAGGATGTAAACCCAAAGGACACAAAGATCATGTATTAAAAGATACTTGATGCTGCAGCCTTTGAAATCTCACCTCTTCCTTCACATTTGGGTGATAAAAAACATTACGAACTAAGAGAAATGAAGGGAAGTTAAGAAAAAGAAAATTTAAAATGGATACGAGAAAAATAATAAACTTGAGATGTATTAATATTTTGCACTTCAACAGCACCTTCAAACTACTTACAAATCAGTAGTCTCTAGCCACTTATGTGAGGTAGGTAATTATTTCAACACCCATTTCATCGTTTGAGGGAGAGACTAACTGATTTGCCCAAGGACACACATACTCCAAGTCTGGGACAAAGCTGGGAATGTTACCCAGAAGCCAACTGACTCCCAGTTCTACATCTTAATTACTTTTAAATCCTCTCAAGTGACTGTAGAACAGCCTCCCAGCGGAAATGATGAAAGTCTCATTTCTCAAGGCATTTTAAACTGGAGCAGTGAAACTATCCTAAACACAAATTGTTCTTGTTTCCCAAGGGATGGGAAAGGCAACTTCCTAGGTCTCTGTGTGTGTGTCTACGATCCTTATAAGTGCTCTCTTACCTGGAAAAGCCTTTTCCACAGCTCTGGCAGATGTAGGGCTTTCCCACTGAGCCATCGTGAGATCGCACATGATAGGACATCCTGTCTTTCCGCTTGAACCGTAACCCACACACTGGACAAGAGTAAGGCTTCTCACCAGAGTGCGACAGCTTGTGCCGATTCAGGTGGTACACGTCCCGAAAAATCTTGCCACAGATCTCACAGGCCACCTGTTTCCTCGTCCTGCTTCTCTTTCGGGGGGCATCGGGGTCATCCTGACCAGGGACACCATTTTCACCCAGTCTCGGGGGTGGGATGTCTATGTAGCCCAGCTGTAAGCTCGTCACCCCGTGTTGAGCCTCGTGCTGACGAAGACGGTTAGCATCCGTAAACACTTTCCCACAGAGGCCACAAGGCAGGATGCCAGCCTCTCGCAGCCCCCCAGGGGCACCAAACATCATGGAGTCCAAGAGGTTGGCTTTACGGGGACGCCCTCTGCCCCTCTTGGTACTCAAGGTGGGGACACTAGCAGCAACGTTCTGAAAGGGTGAGGCCAGCAGTGGTGGGGAAAGGGGGCCTGCCACCATGGGCAGGCGGTCCACACCCTGCAGAACGGGCAGGGAGGACTGAGACGCGGTGAGAGCAGCCCGCGTGGCCTCGTCTTCAGGCATGCCAGCGATGCCGTTGCCATTGGGGGCCAAGGTGGCACCATTGGTCATGTCAAGAGGGAAACCGAGGTCAGCAGCCCCCGGGCGGAACAGCATAATGTCGGGGCGTGCAGGGGGCACCAGGATCTGCACATTGGACTGCTTGATGACCTCCTGGCAGATGTCAATCACCGAGCGCATCAGCAGGAACTTGGCAGCCGTCATGAGCTCTGGGAAGCTCTCCAGCCGCACCACGATGCGCGACGTGTAGGCGAAGTCCAGGATGTCTCCAAACACCTTGGAGCTGATGGTGTGCATCTCCAGCTCCCGCCCGCCCCCGGGGGCACCGCCGGCCGCTGCCGCGGCACCACCGGCCGCCGCCGCCTCCGTCGTGCCCCCTTCTCCTCCGCCGCCGCCGCCGGCTGCTCCGTCGCCCAGCTGCGCGCTGAACACCGACTCGAAGTACTCGCTGCATGCGGCCAGCACCGCCCGGTGCGCCGGGAAGCTCTCGTCGCCCACGCGCAGGAGCACGTCGCAGAAGCGGCCGCCGTTCTTGCGCTGCTGGTTGAGGCTGTGCAGCATGTCGGCGCTGTGCCGGCTCACCTGGTACGTGTAGCAGCCCGACGAGGGGCCGCAAGCGGCGGCCTCGCTCACCCGCTCCATGGGGCTTGCGCCGCCCCGCTGGCGCCCGCAGGGGGCGCGCACTCTCAGGGCCGCCGGGCGGCGCGCTGCTCCTCCTCCTCCTCCTCCTTCTCCTCCTCCTCCTCCTCCTCCTGCTCCTCCCCGCCCCTGGCCGGGCCGGCGGCGGCGGTGCGCGCTGCGCTCCCTGCCCAGTGCGAGGGGATGGCGGGCGGAGGGAGAAGAGAGGGGGGGGGGAAGAAAGGAGAGGGGGGGCGAGACAAAAGGCTCGGGCTGCGGAGGGGCGCGGGGCCGCCGCCGAGCGCTGCGAGCTCCGCCCGGGCCCGGCCGCCACGAGGCGCTGCGGCCGCCGCGGGAAGGGGCGTGCGCGGCGCGGCTGCAGCGAGCCGGGAGGGACGGGGCTCCGGCGGCTGCGGCTCCGGGCTGCCGGCTCCCGTCCGTCCCTGTGTGTTTGGAGCGGAGGAAAGATGGCAGCGGCTGCACTTCCTCTTGCACTTTCACCCCTGGGGGGAGGAGAAGGAGGGGGCGATACCACCCCCCCTACAAAAATCCAGCGGGGGCCCCCCGGCTGCTGCTCCCCCGCCGAGCGCCGCCGCCGCCGGCTCCGGCCCGGGCCCCGCCCGCCCCGCCGCACCCTCACCGCCGGCGCCGCAAACTTTCCGCTCTTCTTTTGCTCCAGAAGCCCCCCACCCTTTTCATAGAGACCCCCCCCCCCCCGCCCCTCCAGCCGCTCGGGCTCCCCCCTGCCCCCCCGCTTCCTGCCCCCCTCCCTCCCCGCATCCGCCAATGCTCGAGCAGCCCGAGCCAGCAGGCCGGCCCCCACCCCGCCCGCCCGCGGGGGCTGGGGGCTGCAGCCCCCCCGTTCCCCCAGCACCGCTCCTCCAATGCCGAGCCGGCAGCCGGGGGCCCCCCCCATGGCACAGGGGGGTGGGGGGGCTGCGCTCACCCCCTCCCCCAAATATCCGGGCTGCAGCTCGCCCCCCCGGGCCCCCCTCCCGCCGGGGAGAGGAGGGGCTGGAGAGAAGGGGGGGGGGTTGCAGGCAGCCTCCCCCCCCCCTCCCCAGGCGCGGAGCGGCCAATGCAAACCCTCCCGGAGCTGCAGAGGCGCCGAGCAGCCCCCACCTCCTCTCCCCGCCCGAGGAGAGCCGATCCCCGAGGGGCCGGGGGCTGCGGCCTCCCCCCGCCCTTTCATTGCATTCTTCACCCCCTCCCCAGCAACTCTCAGCCTGACCAAAAAAGCCAGGCGTTGCGCTTTTTTTGGGGGGTACCCCCTTTCCCTTCACTCCCTTCTCCCCCGGTGCAGCGATGCCCCCCGGCAGGAGCGGCTGGGAGCAGCGGTCCCCGCGGGCAGGGGGCTGCGGGAGACGCAGCCTCGAGCGCTGCCTCCATGTTGGGGGAACGGCCTCCCCGCGGGGCCTCCGCTGCCCCGCCGTTCCCACGGCCGCGCTGCCAGCCTGCCCCGGGGAAACCGCCCCGAGAGGCAGGGCTGCGGGCTGCTGCCCGGGGCTGCCTGCACCGGCCCGGTGCTGAACCTCCCCTGGGTGCTCACGGGCTCGGTATGAAGAGCTCCTCTTCAAAGAGCAGCAGCAGCAGTCATGTTCGGCTAAATCTTGCTTTCTGTCTCAGAAAAATTGTTGCTTACTTTTGAAGAAATGTTTCCCCCCAAACACGCGCTCTTGCAAAACTAGGTTCTTTGCTTTGTTAAAGACAATGCGTTTTTAAAGCGTTCAGGGGCAGTTTTTTGCATTTGGAACATCAAGGCTAATTCAGAAGCCTTGGATGACCCATTCACAATCCAGTATTGTCACTTAAACTATTCAGTGGAAAATACTGAACTCAGCGCATGCAAGGGCATCTCAAACTGTGGAGCATTCCAAGAGCTCGAACCCAGCACTTGAATTAAACAGTGGTGGAACCGAGAAAGCATTCTGGGTACTGATGTGCAAATGAGCGCACCAAGCTTCCAACTTCCAAAACGCGATATTGCATTAACACTTAAGGCCACGCGCTGCCCTCAGCCTGTATGCTGGGTTTCTCTTGCTTCTGCTGGAAGCTGACTACACCGCAGGCAGAATACTGCCGGTAGCTTTTTATTACTGCATTACATATGCATGCGCCCTGATCTGAACGTGTATTTTGGGAAATCTGAGGTTGTTCGAGTGGTAGCGATGTTGATGAACACGCACTCTATTACATGTATAATGCAGTGCTCCCATCCTGTTAGTCTGTTAGTGTGCCACAAACCAAGAGTTGTACTTGCTGTGGTGAGGAAAAGGATTATATTTACACATACTAGGCAGGCTGCATGTGCGCACACTTGCAGCAGTTAAAGAATCTGGAATTTGCTTATCTTTCCTAGTGGCTTCAGTCAGTTGCGTGCCTTTCCCCCCAGCGGTTCATATTGCCTTATTAATTTGCTTTCTTTTAGTCCCCAGTCTCCTGACATGGTTCCTGCTTCCTATTTCAGTTCCCTCCTTGCCTGTTCTTTGTCTCCTCTCTAGGCAGGGGGAGGGGGTCCTGCCGCTCACACTGCACTTTCCTCAGAACTTTCTCCAGTTGCCAGGGAATGTTCTGGTTTCAGCTCCCAGCCCTCCTGTTTAAAAAGCACCGTCTGACACGCCCTGCCTGCTTCTTTAGGTAAATGCTACGTACTTCCCCCCCTAAGCACGCGTGTTTCTCGGCAAACCCATTCCCGCTCCATTCCCGCTCCCCCTTGGAATGCCGCATTAGCACGCCGGGAGCTCGTCCCCTGAGCACACTGCTGGGCTCTCGGTAAAGATGACCCCCCGCACTTAGCGCTCCCAGGGAGATCACAGGGTGACCGGCACAGCCTTTACCTTAGCTCCTTGTCCCCTCACACGGTAAGGCTGAATCTCTCTCTTCAGTTCTGCTCCTGTGGCATCACTCTCCGCCACCTCCACTGCTTCAGCAATGCATTTAGAGGCCCACTTGAGCCAACTTCATCTGGTCCCCAGCTTATCTTGTCCCAGGACACGAGCCTGTTGATGCAGTCATTCAATTAGTGCTTGTTACAACATAGCCAGATTCCCTTTATTTACAAATAAGCATACAATTTGTGCAGAACTGTGACAAAATTTGGATCACCTGTATAAAGATATTTGGAGGATTACATTCCCTAAATGTAATGTGATGACCAAGTGTCATTTCCCTATACTTAGCTATGCAAGGGTACAGGTGTGACTTACTTTGGAATCATTCATCATCTGAACTAGCTAGTTAATGTCTCAAAGACCAAGGTCCAGATGGAAGACTTAAATGCATATCAAAATTTACATTTTCAGTATAAAGAATTCACTCCCCTTTTCGGATGATTCCTGAACTATTTGCTCTCACATCTTCTGCACTTGGACCTGTTGAACTTCTCCTGAATTCCAATCTCTTTCAAATAAAGGCATTTTCCTCAGCTACTTTATTCAGCTTCTCACTATTTCCTGTCTCACTTCAGCTCTTGGGAATTCCTGAGCTGTCCCTAAATGTTTTGCAGCTGTTTGGTCCCTGCTGAAGTACTTTGATTGGTATCTCAATAGTAGTAAAAACCCTCTTTTGCTCTGAACATGTGTGTGCCATTTGGGACTGTACACTGTACATTGCTCATTTCACAGCAGATCAATTGCTACTGGCCTTACTCAGAAGCGCAGACCTTAAAGTAATTTGGAACTGCAAATATAGGGAGCTACAGAAAGACTGTATCACAGTTGAATCTATTCGAATCTACTTGGGTATGCGTTAATTAGACTTGAGACGTACTTATTTTTTTAACATGCTCAGATCATGAATCTGTAGATCTAGCTACATTTTTTTTTCCAAATAGTCTGTACTAGGACATTCTTTAAGGGTAGTCACCATTTCACATCATTTACAATATTAGCAGAGAACAGAAATCTGTAACATTAGGCTTTTCATGGCATACTTGCAAATTTCAGTGAGTAGCTGTCATTTTTTTCTGAGCTTTCACTGGAATTTTAATTAACTGAGACCAATCTAACAAGCAATTAATTCAGCATTCATTACTTGTTAGGTTGGTTGTTACTTAAATTTGGTTTTTGAAACTCGCTCCATTTTTTTATTGGGAATCATCCCATGAGAATGCTAACCCTAGCAGCAAGGATTCAGAGAACTTGGAGACAGCAGTTTCCTCTGCAATCCAGACACAGGTTAGTGATTTGTCAGCTCTCTCCTTTAAAAGCAAACAACTCTCTTTCTTAAAAATACCTAGTATTCTCACAAAAACTACAGCAACGTCTAGTAGGGAGGTATATGATGCTATGAAAAGTATGCAGTAAGAGTTATAAAAAGGGGAAATCACACTATTCGCTTTTCTTCTTTTTGCTCAATCTCTTCACTGCACTCGTGTTGTTTAGTCCATCTGTTGCTCGGAGGTCCATGACAAAGTCTGGGGAGTTGACGCTAAACTACAGAACTTTTTGTTGTTAAACTGATTTAAAGCAGGCTTTGAAGCCAACCTTTGCTACTTAATCTCCCTTTTGTTCCCCTCGTTTCTTCACTCTGCCCATCTTAACTTACTCTAGACTGTCTGGAACCAAAGCAACCTGAGCCATTCAAAACAAGATTGCTACGCTAAGGATCTGGTCAAAATGGGAATAGAATCTCGGCTTCCTGCTCCATCAAATCGACTGCCCATGAATTAGGCATCCATATCTAGTTGAGGAAACATAGTAGACAACTTTCTCATGTAAAACATACAGTACAATACGATCCTAAATAAGCAATGCAAATAGTGAATGTTTGGTATTTACAGACTAACAGCTAAACTACTGTGCTGTTCTGAGGAGGACAACTTCAGAAATACCAAGTACACTGGCATTAAAAAGTTAATCCAGGACAACAACTAAGAACTGATACATCTGTATTTCTTACTATACTCAAAATATAAATAACTTCGTCTATTGAATTTAAAGATTCATTTAAAGTGTAAATTATGTCAGCTTCTAATGACCCTTCCCCTCAGGCAAGCAATGTCATAGCTCCATTCAAGACTTCCTCCCTCCCTCTCCCCCCCCCCCGCCCTCAGATCTCAAAATCTTACCTTCTGTCAGAGGGGGTTCTCAGAATCTCATTCCTCCAGTTCATTATCACCAGCTTGAAAAAGTTCATCTCATCTTTTCAGCACCACCAGATCTTCACTGAAGTATAATAATAGTGTTAATCAGTGGTCAATTCTCAAGCCAAAGTACAATTCAGTAAAAACAAACAAACAAACAAAAAAACAACACCAACACCATAAATTAGTGAATTTGCAAAATGGAAGGAAGAAAAAAAAAAGCCTTAAAATTAATAGATATGCTTTACCTGTCAGTTACCCTTTCTCACGAAGGAACTCTGGCAGGCTGATTACAGTCCTATACCCATAATTCTTAAAACCGTAAGTCTTTAGGTCAAGGTTATCATTTGATGCAGATTATTTTTCACTGGACTGGTGATAATTTCTGAAAGGATATGAAATTTCAAGAGCCTTGTTTCACCTGCAATGATGATTAAATTTCCTTCCTGCCACCTCCCTCCCAGTTTTTAAATCCTCCAGAAAATGCGTATTATCCCCAGCACTAAGCTGGAAATGCATTCCCTCACAGGTCCAAACACACATGTAGCATTAGTGCAGCTGTTTCCCAGTATATTCTATAGCTTCTGTCACAAGGTGAATTACCAAAACCAGAGTGGCTCTTAAGCTAAAAGGAGTTTCTCACTGTGAATAGACATGCTATCTCCAAGTATTTTGACTCTGAAGCTATTTTTCAAAATAGAAATAAGAAAAAAAAAAAAAAAAAAAAAAAAAACAACAAAAAAAAACCACTAAAATACCTAATTTTAAAGTAGTCTTTATCACTCAAAATAAAATCTGTGATTTTAATGAAGCATAAGCTACATGGAAGTTATAAACACCAATTTAATACTCTGTTTTTATCATGTATTTTGCAATAAAAGACCTGCAAGCCACATCTTAACACATGTGTTTTGTATCTCACATAAGTCAGACTCTTAACCAAGCTAAGATAATAGCTGCTCCAGAAAGAATGTCAGAATTTGGCCCATACTGAAGAAGCTTATTTAAAATTAGTAGTTTGACAGAAAACACACTAAAGAGATTTACTACTTAGCTCTCCTATTTAAATGATCTACAGTTACCATACTTGCAGGGTAGCGCTATGGAAACATTAAAGTTTCAATCATTTTGCGGCAAGTGCACATTCCTGTTGTGCAAAGAAATAAAACTTAAACAGAAGTAGAGGAAATGACTTTTCAAAATTCTTGAGTCAGCAGGACTGAGTGTATTGAATAAGAATCTCTGAAACCTGTTTTTACTACAGTGCTCCATCTTTCAGATCTTGCTAACGAGGTATGTGCCATTTTGGTCACATTCCTGCCATTGTAGCTTGATGAAACACAAATTCCTAGTTTTTCTCAATTTCTGATTCCATAGTGTCATGTTTCTTGAGACAGACTTTATTTCAGATGTAGTTTTCCTGAAATTTCTAAACACCATGTAGTATATTTCTTTCTTTACTTTATTAAAAGTAATAGAGAGAACTACTTATGCTATACACTTTTAGTTTATCCGTTAGTAATCCATGTAACTACTTGATCATTGCTTTTTTTCCACTGAAAATTTGAACCTTTATCCCGTGTTGCCTAACACAGTAGGCATCTGAACACCTAAGAGTTTGACTCCTCTGCTGTAGTACAATGTACAACCTTTGGAAATAGATACCCTCTTTCACTTCATCTAGATAACCTAAATTAAATTCTGTAAATTAAAAAGAAAAAATGGCAATTTACACACTCCTTCTTCCATCAGTGCCCACTATAAAGCTCAATTAACCTTACAAGTAGATCTCAGTCTCTTGTAGCTCCTTTCGTTTTATTTCAGGTTCCATTGGGAGCTTTTTCATCTTCGGACATTATATCCCATTTCTCACAAATATTTTCCTTGATTTTTTTTTCCTTCTCTGAGTTTTATTTTATTTTTATTTTTAATATACTTTTGTAATTTGAACTCAATTTTTGGACTGTAGTTTTCAGAGGACATGTTTCAGTCACTTTTCCAGTTGTCACATCTAACTCCCCATGTCCATAACCACCCTGTTCTCCAGAGTGCCACAGAATATAAAATACCCTATAATAAAAAATTCACACCAGCCATCACAGTAAATAAAATAATTATCCACAACTGGGATCCAACCTCAACTGGATAAACCTTTCTGAAGTTTAATAGAGGGTTATGTTATAAACTAATGTGAACTACTTCAAATATTCAAACCAATTAGGAGGTGTTCATTTAACTGGAAAAATAATCAGGCAAATTATCTTTATTAATTAAACTTGTACGCCCTTCTGGTCATTAAGGAGAATAGTCAATGCTAAAAGAAGTTTCTAAGTGCTTTAGATCCTTAGAGGGCCTTTGCTTGAATAACTATCTGGAAAAAAAAAAAAAAAAAAAAAAGGATTTAAGACTGCATACTAAGCAGTATTGTCTTAAGTACACTATTTACTCACATCTCTATTCATTCATCAAACGCTTGAAAAATAATATAGTTTGACACAGTATACGGGATTTAGAGTTAGTTTGTAAAAACAGCTATTACTGTTGCTAGCATCAAGTTCTGAAGTTAGCCAACACATAGTGCAAAAATAGAGGTGGCCTGACTAAGCACTCAGAATTTGCATTTTTCTCACTGTTTTTCCTGTTACTAGAAGGGACTGCAATCTTGTGAAGTGATTTTATGGCTCAACTCAGCTGAAGCTTAAAAAAGTCTAATTCCATCTGAAGTAAGAAGGAAAAGACTTACACCAGGACCAAACCTACTGTCAGATGTTGAAAACTGATATTGTTCACAAGGAATAATTAGAATACCATGAACAAATATACATTGGTAGGTGCATTTATATTTACCCTAGCTTAGCTAAACTAACATTACTGGGAAGAGTAATCTCATTTTATTTGAGATTCTATTTTAGTAAGCTCTATATAAGCTTATATTAATGACAGTTCCTACCATAATGGAGCTCGTGACGTGAAAGATGTCTTTTTGGATTCAGAGGAGACAAGCAGGGGACGTGAGGAGGAAAAACAAGATAGCAAACAGCCACATCACTTCCACTGAACTAGTCCTCTCATTTTTTGTTTTTTACTCCAAGTTGCAGATGAGTTGATGATCTGTAACAATTGTATAACCAAAACTGAGGCAAGGTTTAAATTTACAGTGCTCAGGATCCAGGCTGAAGATGTAGCAGATGCTTCTGCAAGAGTGTCATTATAAACACATCAATAGGAAGGGCCTAGGAGAGTATTTTATTTTATTTATTTTTTGTTAAAACATATAAAATTTTACATTTAGATGCATCGAATAAAAGCAGGTTTTGTCATAAATTGATTTGGAAGAGCCTTCATGGAAGGGGTAGTGACTATGGAGAAAAAAAAAAATAGTTTCCATAAATTATTCCCATGCAGACAAATCATGACAGGGAAAAAACATTCAGGGACTCTAAATTCCTTCAAACCTTATTAAAACATACTTCCTCGTATTGTACCATCAGCCTTTATTCCAAATCCAACTGTTTGCCTTCCTGTGGTACTGCCCAAAGCTGAAGATGTGTGGCTCTAGCGTTTGAAGAAGCCGTTAAAAACAAACCACCAAACTGTGCTGCATTTAGCGAGCCCGGCCAGGGCTCTCCTGACGGGAGCCGTGACAGACCCCGGGTACCCGCGGCCCGCCCTCACACAGCTCCGGCCGCCGCCTCTGCCGCTCCCGGGGCCGCCTCAGCGGTGCCGCCAGGGGGCGCCCCATCGCCTGCAGCCGCCTCAGCGCCGCCGGCACGCGCTCTTTCCCGCCCACCGTCTTCTCGCGAGAGTTGCCGTCCCTCAGGGCGAGAAGTCGCGGTGCGCCTGCGCGCTGCCGCCGGGGGCCTGAGGAGCGGTGCCTGCTGTGGTGACTCCCGGGCCGCACCGGGACCCGCCGCCGCCGCCATGAGCGGGACGCTGGCCAAAATCGCCGAGATCGAGGCGGAGGTAACGCGCTGGGCCTCTGTCTGCTCGGCGCCGGGAGCGGGGCACGCCAGAGGCCGGAGCGGGGCCGTGCCGTGCCGGGGCGGCGGGGCCGCGAGGCGCGGGGAGGCCGCTCCCGCTCGGCGGGGCCGGTCCCGGTGCTGAGGGCTCGGTTGCTCTTGCAGATGGCCCGGACACAGAAGAACAAGGCCACGGCGCACCACCTGGGGCTGCTGAAGGCCCGCCTGGCCAAGCTGCGCCGGGAGCTCATCACCCCCAAGGGAGGCGGCGGCGGCGGCCCCGGGGAAGGTGCGTCCTGAGGCGGTCGGAGGGCTCCGGGCCGCCTCTGTGGCTGTCGGCGGAGTTAACCGCAGCAGCCGCCTGGTCTCCGTCGCGTCGTGCCCGGTGCAGGATCTTAGCGCCGGGGTTCGCGGCCCTGGCTGGGGCTTTGGGGTGAATCCCTTGTTGAAGAGTAAACGGAAGAGCTTCTGTGTTTTGGCTGGAGTAGGCGTGTATTTGGAGAAGTCTTAGGGGTTTTGAATGAAGAAGCACCTTGCAGTAGTTACCTCTTTATATAAAGGTGCAAGTGGTGTAAGTTGCAGTGGTTAAAGTGAACGCTCCATTAGCACCCAAGTCAGGTATAGGCTACTGGGAATCCCTGTTGCCCGTGCTTTATTAGGGGTATGTGTTGTCGAGTGTCACGCAGATGAGGTACTAAAGGCAGTACAGATCATGAAGTCTTTGGTCCCCGCTCATATCCCCCTGGCAGGGAAGCTTACCGGTCTCACTAAGACAATATTAAAACTAATTGAGCGGTCGCTCACAATCCAGAAGCTTAGAAGATAGAAACTGTCCATCTTTAAATCTTTTTTTTTTTTTTAAATTTGCTTCTTTATTTGTAGGTTTTGATGTTGCAAAGACAGGTGATGCCCGAATTGGGTTTGTCGGTTTTCCATCAGTGGGAAAATCTACTCTTCTAAGTAATCTCGCTGGTGTGTACTCTGAAGTGGCAGCATATGAATTCACCACACTAACCACTGTGCCTGGAGTCATTAGATACAAAGGAGCAAAGATACAGGTGAGAACTTTTTATGTCTGTGAAGGTAAGATTGTGTATGTAGGTGTAATGGTATTATGGCTGAACAGTCTAGTCTGACATTAGCAGGTTAGAAGTGATATGTAGAAGCACTGGAGAATGCGTTGGAAATGTTCCCATGAGGTACTAATTTTGTCCCGTTTTTCACTTTTCTCTGGAGAAGAGTTCCCAGGGTAGTTCTCATACTCTAAGATGACCTGTTCCAGTCTACAAATAGGGCACCAGGGATAATACAATATGTAAAAATCTAGGTGGAAACAACTTTGCTTTATTCTGTTCAGATTTGCAGTAGACTCAGCAGCTTAAGAAGAAAGGTTAGAAGTACAATTTGTTTTCTCTGTAAAGAGAAATAT